CTATAAAACGGAAATTGTTTTGGGTCCAGCTCAACTCCTAATGACTACATGGCTGCTGTGACGACATGATTTACCTTTGCCTTTTTCCTGGATTTTTGTTCCCCTAACCCTAACCGAGCCCATTGTATAGCTCTAAGATTTCTTTGATGATCTCCCTTCCAAATACTAACAAGGCTAGACACTGCTTAGCTTTTTCAAGATCAGCTAAGGTCACTGAGGTTTTTTGGGGGGGGGAGTTGGTCTTTGTTGTAGAGCAATTGGAGCAACATTTAATTGCTGAGATTCTAGTTTTGTGTACTTGCTTTAGAAGTTAAGCAGTATTTATCCTAAGAGATACCCAAGCGTTTAATGGAGTGGAAGGAATCTGTAATAACTTTGAGAGAGCTGGTTCAATTTATGACATTGGGCTCAGAAATAAGACTGGGGACATAGTAGAAAAATTCCCATAAGCATCCTGAAGAAGCAAAACTGGCATTGCCCGTGCCTAGATGATAATTAATAAAGCACCCTTTAATACAGTGCTAGGTAGAGCTTCCCCTGGTTCAAGTACTCTCCTCAAGTGTGCAGGTTTATATATTTAGCAAATGATTAACTCAAAGAAAACAGATGAATAAATGATTACCCATCATATCTAGAAGCCAGTAACAGCCTTATCATCTATGGATTTCTTTAATTTGCTTTAAATCTGTCCTATATTGGCCACAACTGAACTTCAGGTTGCTCAAACTGGGTAGATAATGGGGTGCCACACTGGATGTACCCTTGCTTCTTCTGACCTCTACACATTTGACCAAAGGTCTGGCAGAGAACTCTCTTCATGTTTGCACGATCTCAAGACTAGCTTTAGCTGCACAATCTGGAACCCTGTTTTATTAGATTGTTCAGAGAACTTTAGTTCAAGCAAACACACGCACACACCCATTCCCAATGCAGGTTGAACTCTCCATGCATTCAACTGATTAGCCAAGGCCTTTTTAAAATATCAAGAGGGCCAGGGCAGAAGATTCATGTGAACACTCCCTTTCTTCTATGGCCTGCTATGTCTATGCGATGTTTTTCTCCATTGTTATTCATCCATTGAAATCGATAGCCCAGGAATCAGAAGCGTATGGGAAAACCAGAAATACCAAAATAATTCTTGGCCATTGCATTTTTCATTCAAGTCTTTCTGCCTTGGATGAAAGATTTTGAGCTAGCTGATTATTTCAGATATTGAATTACACTTGGGTGGGGTCCTCTCTGTATGTGCGGGATGGGTCCAGAGCAATTTCCCCTCCCCCCATTGTTTTTTTTTTTAAAGCCCAAGAGGACATTGATGATCCTAGATTCTACTATAATGAGAAAGGGACAATAATTTGTCTTCATTCACATTCTTTCTGATCCTTCCCCCATTTTCCTTGTTTCTGCTCTGAAAGATTGGGATCTTTCCTCACCCATCAATTTCTCTATCCCCCCCCCCCCGATCATTTCGTTTCCTGTTTTAAATAAAAGATGGTCTCAGTTATCTGCCCTTCCCACCTTGGATCCAATAAATTCTGGAATATTTCTTTTCTTCTTTGAAAAGCCATAATTGCTCAGCCTGGGTCCCGGTGAAATGCGTGCTAAAGCTTTTCAGTGAACACTTTCCCATCATCAGTTTCACTGGGCACTTTTTAAAAAATCCATATTTCAGTCAGGAAAAGAATGGGCTACATTTTAAGGCAGTCCAGTTACTCCTTTTCTGGCATTGTGCAATAGATTAGACAGCTAGAGAGCTGGGAAGGGAAGGGAAGGGAGAGATAAATGTCAGTCTTGTTCTATAAGAAGCAGATAAAAGCAGCCTCCAATAATTTATACAATACATATCACATTAAACATCATCACTATAAACTCACCATAACATCAACATCTGTGGCAGCACCCGCAGACATCCTAGGTATGGATCTCCTTCATGCCAGGTCTTCGCTAATCTTCCAAATATTAACAATGAGGATGCTGATCTTATTTCTTGGGGGGAGCTCCAGCAGAAGATGGCCCTTTCCAAGCCCTCTTCTGCTCACCTCATGGGAAAAACATCTACCAGTCCTAATGGCTCAAACACATACTTCTCATTGTGTTTGTGGAATAACAGCCCATGTGGTTGGAATCGGTGCCCATGAAGCATATGATCACGGGGGTGGATAGGGGGAATACTGCAAAGGAAAGGATTAAACAACCTCTCCTTTCATGGCACTACTCCAACCACATTGGGAGCCCAGACATCTGCATTGTATTACAACAAAAACGGTGAGAAGATCCAACCAGTGCTTTCCCCCCATGTAGTAGAGCTTGGTCCTTAAGCATTTTCTAAGGATTTCCTAAGAGTAGGACATCATGTTCTCATGTTGAGTTTCTAGCAGACAGGTAGCCACATCAGATAAACCACAACTAAAATCACTGGTGGTGTCCTGCCCAGAGTGCTTGTACCAGAGAAGAAACCCTTGATTACAGAGGGATGCTGGTCTTTTGACCACTTCCTGGCTGGGTAACCCAGAGGAGCTGGTCTAGTCCAGTTTGAAACCACCCTTATTTCTAATTTTATAAGAGGACTGGAAGGAAGTGATCCCAGATCTTTTCCTGAGAAATCGTTCTACAGATTTAAAAGGACCTGAGTCTGTCCAGTCTATGAGCCACTAAATCAGATAGAACAGAGTACAGTACAGTCCACCAATACTTGAGCTGGCAGGAAAATGTGCTGGAAGAAAATTTCCTGAGTCTTATCTTACCTCAATAACCAAGCTGGTGAGTTACAGTTTTAATTAAGAAGTTAAGTAAGCCATTGATGGACTTCCCCAGTTTTATTCTCCATCCCACTGGGAGTCATCTCCTGGTAGGAAGGCTTCAGAGAAGTGGCCCTGCCTGCAGCAGCCTAAATTAGCCAATAGGAGCTGGGTTAGATCCTACCCTTGACTGCCACAAGAGTCACATTGCCAATGAAACATCCTACATGTCCATGGTGTTGGGAGAAGAGGGAATTTTAAAACTGGAATAGCTATACATGACTTTAGCTGCCTCAGCTGCCTAGGGATGAGGCGAAGGTAACACCATGAGAACAAGTCATATAAAAATGGTTTACAAGGGCGTCTTCATGTGGTGGATAAGGGGATGTGAAGATGAGCCCACAGCTTATTAACCAGTAGAAGTTTAGTAACCTTTGAGGACTCCAGAACTACAATTTGTGAAGCCCCTGTAAAGGTTCACTGTGTGACTAAGAATTGAATTATAGCTTCATTGGTCATCAATTGATCACTGAATCATAGAGGTGGATGGGATCTTAGTGCAGAATCCACTGAGCATATCTGACAGATGCTCACCCGGCCTCTGTTTGAAGGCCTCTAGTGAAGGACTTCCCTCAGGACTTCACTTGGCAGCTGTTCCTCTGGCTGATAATTCATATAGTTAGGGAGCTCCTCCTGATGTCTAGCCTGGTGATGTCTCTGGGACTGGTTCCAGTCTTGCCCTCTGGGGCAACAGAGAAAAGGTCCACTCTCTCTTCTGTGCAACAACCCTTCAGATATTCAAAGACTGCTATCATACCTCACTTCAGACATTTCTTTTGTAAGCTAAACATATCCAGATCCTTTCCTCATATGCCCTGGTTAAGGTGATGATTTTTTTTTTCAGTGCCTTCGAGTCAGTATTGACTCCTGGTGACTGCCTAAACAAGTCCGTGCAGTTTTCTTGGCAAGATTTCAGAAGTGCTTTGCCATTGTCCTCTTCTTCCTAGGGCTAAGAGAGTGTCACTGGCCCAAGATGTGATAGAAGTAGTATATCATGTCTCTCGTAGCTACCTTTAATGGAAAGAGGAATCAAACATCTAAATGAAGACTCTCCTTATTTTGCCTAGCAATTGTCTTAAAGACTCAGAATAAAACTGTGGCAGACATAAAAATGCTTTGGATGGGCCTCTTATGGTACTCCATACATTGTTCAGGTAATTAAATAAATGTCTAATAAATGAGGTAGAGAACCTGGGGGAAAAACACAATTACAATTGGAAGTTTTAGATGTGTTAAATAATGATGCATCAAAATAGTCAGGAGGGGTGGTAGAGCATTTCTGTTGATACAGAAGCAAATGTAATTAAAACACATTTTCTAATTATAGTGAATCCTTCCATAGGCTCTTTCTGATCACTTTAATCATTTCCCCTCCTCCTCCTCCTCCCATCTTCAGCTGTGATTGTGCAGTTGAAGCACCACCCCTTTTCTTACAGCTGCCATCTTGACTTTTTTTGATCCCCCAAGCGGATTCCCCTACCCCACCTTCTTAAGAGGTTTAGATCCATCTACAGAATTTTCCCTATATTGTTTATCAAAACAAGAACCCTGTCAGGTAGGTTAGGCTGGGAAAGATTGAACTTCATAGTAAATGAAGCTTCCTGGTTTATCCTCACTAGCTCACCACTGCACAGGTTCTAATTCCTAATTCTATTTCTTAAAAACATTGAGTTATGCTGTCTTATGTATAAACATGCATCTTAGTCCAAGATGATTTTGTACCTATGCAACTTTCCCCAACCCAGGGCATCCAGATGTGTTCTCGTAGCCTGAAATAGTACCATCTGTAGCTGTAGTCTCTGGAGGGCACCGCTTCTGTGACCTATCTCTTATTCTCATTTTTACAAACAATGTGAGACTCAGCTCTGTGAGAGATGAATGAAGAGAGAAAAAAACGCAAACATTTGGCAGTCTCCTGGAATGGTTCTGCTCAATCCTTTTCAGGCATTGCGCCCTCAAAGAATACTTTCCACATCAATATATCTGACAGTTAAACTTTAGACATCTCCTGTGGAATTCTTGCACATGGCACTCAATGTTGCAAGTCAGGTTGTCCTTGAGGTGACCTTGACTCTACATGGGGACACCAGTGCTACTTTACTGGAATGGCCTGTCATGACCTTCTTCCAAGATCTCTCTTTGACTTCCCAATGTAGTCTATAGCCATAGACTTCCCTAGTGGCCTCCCATCTTAATATTTAAGCAGCCCCGATCATGTTGAGCTTCTGAGCCCATGCTGAATCCTGTTGTTACCCAAAACACTTCAGGACTTCCAAAATATCATTCAAAAACCTGTTTTAATAATATCAACAAGACCAGTTCCCACTCTATGAGCATTCATAGCCATTGGTTAAATCCACTTTTGTGATCTGGGTTTTTCTGACCACCTTTCGTCATAGGAAAACTGCCTTTAACTGTACTCCGCATGGTTCAATCTCATTCTTTGGCAACATGTTTCGTTTTTCCAGAGCCTTTGGGAGAGAGGGGGGTCTGTTAATGATAGCCTAGGCAAGAGAGGTTGTTTTCCCCACTGACTTGTGACTACAGAGCGGGAGGGTGGTTTAGTGGCTTTTGTTGTGCTGAAGTTAAGAGCAAACCTTAGCAACAATTGCAAACATCTGGAGCTTCATCTGAAAGGAGGGTATTTTGTATGGCAAGAGAGGTCACAAGATACTCTCTGGACTTCTCTCTGTTTCTTTACTTCTGCTTCCCAGTTTCGCACACTGAAACTGGAAACGTTCACGATGCAAACATGTCACATGTTTTGAATTCCAATGACCTTGCAATAAAGAACGAGAACAGCTCCCTACCTTTATGGTTTCAACCCCTCCTTCTTCAGAGCAAGCTGAACAGTGAAAAACCACTGTTGTGTTTTGGAAAATGTAAACGATTTAATCTCCTACCCTACTCCAATGTTGTCTCCGATATTAACAGAGGCAGCAATCGGATTGGATTGCTGCTTTTAGAGTCTTCCTCAACTAACAGCGTCCCTGAGGGACATGATTTCAGCTCTAAGAAAAATGGAATTAATCACTGCCAAATGGTGGAGAATTCCAGGGAAGGAAGCCCTAGCCACGTGGTATTTTCCCAGGGTTTTCATGCTACCTTTCAGATGTGGCTGGAAGTAAAGGAAAATCACTTGATGCTTCCATACCGCTAGCAGCTCCCATGGTTAATATTAGTGGTGACATCAGGGCACGACTGGGGGCAAGAGTCCAAAACTCCACTCAGCAGAATGAATGGGACCGCCAAATATAGCAGTGTTGGCTTACCACATTTTTAGAGTAAGTGAAATAATCACGCCATCATGATTCCAAAGGTTCCAGAAACTAAAATAACCTCACTGCGTCACTGGTTAGAAAACAAGGATGTAAGAATCGCTTCCTTGCCCGAGGAGACCAAAAACTGTCTGGTCCAGATGTGGTCAGGGACATCAACCAGTCAGGCATCTCTGAGAATTCACAAGTGATAGATGATTCTCCACAGATACAGATCCCAGTTGCTTCTCTCTCACATCTGGCAAGAATGAGTCTACCTACTTTTGCCCCACCAATCATAAGTTTATCATCTTTTTTATAAACCAGAAGGCCCCTAACACATTGACCACTCTGCCTTAAAGGAATAAGCATTCACTGTGTCTGTTTACTCTACAGCTTCCTAGTGATCAAATGGGGTGTGTATGGGTGTGGGTGTGTACCCTTCTTCATGGAAAGTATTCCAACAACTAGATTGTTTTCGGCTTATTGGGAACTCAGGAGGGTTTATTTCTGAACAGACATGCATTGCTTGCTAAACGTTTCTTTGGGGAGCTGGAAAATGTATACAAACTAGGAATATTTCATATTCATGCAACTTATTTGCAATGAGATGCTACCTTGAAGTCCTCAAGGGAAGGCATTCTTTTACATCAATACTGTAAAAGAAATGATTTGAATGCTATAAATCCAGACAATAGTACTTACAATTGTAAAAACTATGCACCTTTTTCTCGCAGCTAGTTAGTCATTTTGGCCTTAGCTCACTCAGTGGCCAGAAAAACAGGCTGTTTCAGTTGCATACTTGCTATGCATTAATTTCATGCTCATGTAAATACATTCATTCATTGTCGAAAGTATTAAATAACCAAGACTAGAAAGCCATTTGTCCATCACAAGTTTCTTAAATTTGCTCTTTTGTTTTTTGGCAAGTGATCACAAAGACTTATTTGACTTTCTTTGCTGGAAAAAAACAAAGTTTGAAGCACATCCTTATCTTCATTATCATCCCTTTGTTACAGCAAGTCGGATTGGGGTCCCACATTCACTTGTTTAATAAACGTAGGAGCAATTGTTTCTGTCCATTTCCAGAAATCGCTGCATTAAAAACCCTAAGGCCAAGCAGGAACCCCTCTGATCTCTTTAAAAGAGAAAAGAAAGCAAGAAAACTTTCCTCCATGCAACGTCCTTCGCACGCGCAGCTTCCAGCCAACATATTGGCCGGAGGTCTGGCCTTGATTAGAACTGTAATTCAACATAGCCGGACAGCACAAGGTTGGCTCTGTGAGAACAAAAAAGAGCTAGCCTGGGTCAGGCAAAGGCTGATCTCTCCCACAATGACCCAACAGATGTCCATGTGAAGCTTAGGAGGAGACAGAAGGCCAACCGGAGTCCTCTCCTTTTTTCTTAATATTTGGAGGGGGGCATTGGAGTTATATTCACAAAACCGTTGATCCGTTATGCATTTTCAAACTGCAGTTAAAAGCCGCTGGACTGCAATCGCCTACTTAGCAGGATGGCCAGTGCAGGGAAGAGAACACAAATGTCCTTGAACTGACCTTGACTTGCAATGGCTGTATCCCAGCATCCTTGGCCACTGTTAGGGGAACGGTTTGCTTATTTTCTTCTGGGTGTTTTGCGGGGGGATTCCCAGGTGGGATGGACTGCCCATGAAATTATCGGCATCCAATGCTGTTTGGCTTCTGGGATTGGTCAAGGGGGGCTAGATGCAGCCACCTTCATTAACCTCATTTTGGGGCTTAGTCTGTGTAGGCTGCCTGGTTAAATGCCGCACAGATTCAAATGCATGAGTGCAGGTACTGCTGTCGTTCAGGCATAATACTGATTTTCC